GTGCTTTATGAAGTTCAGTCAGTTGACGGGCAATTTTGCCACATCCAATATGGCGGCCGCTCCGACATACCGCTGCAACGGGCCAGCCCACTCAACGAGGTGTCCACTAAAACTGCCTCACCAGTTCTCTGTTGTGAACGACCTGGTAGATGACAATAGCCAATCAGTGATGGAGAAAGGTCAGTGGAGCTTTGCTATGAAATAATGATGAATGATTGTTTGAAATGTGTTTAATAAGTTAACTCAAAAACCACCGATCTGACTTGAAATCCGTCCAAATTATCCCCACCCGCCCAAGGCAATTTTTACGTGCAAAATCAGCATGAAAACCGCCCAATCTGGCAACACTGATGAGGACCCCCTCCTCCCAAAAGAGAGATGTGTATTGGGCAGCTATGAGAATGTCGGGTGTGACGAAGCTGAACCTTTTGGCAGCATGAAACTCGTTACCCCGTCCAAAATTTTTTTTTTTTAAATATCCATAATTCTGTTCAGTGGCCTGAGACGACTTCTCTTGTGACTTGGCGCTATAAAAATAAACTGAATTGAATTGAATAAATTAGCCATAGCATTGTATAAGTCGCGGTGTTCAAAACATGTGAAAAAGTAGTGGCTTATAGTCCAGAAATTACGGTACCATAAGTTGTAGAGAAGCTACACATTTTCATATGAATCATCGTAAAGGCAGAAAACATTGTGCCACGTGAAAACACTTACTGTAAACATGCAAAAGAATTTGAAGGTGAATATATTTTTAAAACACACCCAGCCTGCCCTGTTTGTCCAAACAGGTGATTCCAGTTTACGTCAAGCTCAGGTTCTCCTGGGAGCTTGACCTCGACTTTAAAGGATTACTTTAGTTCGGTGTGACTAATGGCTTTTTGCTCGATCGACGGTGTTGCCTTCTTTAAAAACCGTGAACCCAAATACCTCTGGAATGACATGTTGCAGTTCTAAATATGTTACCTGCCAGCATACATGTTACTTTCCTTCCCTTTTAGGCACGCTTCCAGCTTACAGAATTAATTTCACATTTGATTCTATGTTGCTTTTAGTTTCTTATCAAGAAATGTGTTTTCTACAGCTTTGGTTTTAATCCTTTGATTGTTTTTTTTACTTCTTTCTTTTGGGTCTCTTGTGGTTTGCATGTGCGTGAGCTGCTTTATGCAGATATGGGTTTTACTCAAATTTACATACAAATAGAAAACCCTGACAACTGCTACAGTGATTCTTTAACCCCCTTTTTTCATAGATGTGTGCAATATGAAATATGAGGCCTTTGGCCCCATTTTTCTCCTCCTTTTTCTCTACTCACATGTCAGTTGCTTTTTATTTGCATACCTGTTCAAAGCTTGTGCTTCAGGATTTCTGGTTTTTGTTTCAGTTTTTTTTTTTTTTTTTATATATTCAAGGAACTTGACAATCAAGTTTGCCATGGGTGTGCAAAGTTAAGAGTTCTTGTATGATCTGCACATCCTGGTTGATGTAACTCAGAGCGCTGACACACATTTCTTGTCTTTTCTTTTTGCTGATACGACTGCTTGACCTTCAAGAGATAGTTATTTGTTAATTTCAGAGCGGAGATGACATCAAAGCTCTCCTGTAGATGTGAGATGTTTTTTATGGAGCGCATGAATTACATTTGAAAGGACTCTCTGACAGAAAATAAAACTTTCCTTTTTGTTGCAGACATGAGGGATCGAGGTAGACTTCACTTCAGAGCTGCTAGTTCTGGTTCTCTGACTCCCGGTCTTCATCTGTTTTTTCCTCTGTTTCCTCCTCTTGGCAGCTGTTCTGACTCTTACTGCTGCTGCTGTGTTCCTCTTCATCACCATAAGATTTTTTATGGATTCGGCTGATGCGCACGAGAAATCGAAAAAGGTTCTTGGTGAGAGAATTTTTGTTTTCTTTTATTGAATGTTAAACGCTGAACGTTTGGTGTTATCTCAGCTTCACAATCTTTGTTTCTCTTTAAGGGTTTTATAAAAAATGAACAATGCTTTTCCCAGTTTGGTATACAGATACACTGTTTTTGGTTTAGAATTTTGTTTTTACCTTTCTGATGTACTTCTTCAGCTTGGACCTCATTCAAGCCAAAGTGCAGCCTCCCCAGGGTTTGCCCTCCAGACCATTTTGCTTTTCGAATTCGAAGCGGAGCTGCTAACGTTGTCGGCCCGCAGATCTGTTTTGAAGGACATATGTAGGTATTAATTAATGTGGTTAATTACTGCAAAAGAAACATCCGTGCAGTGGATTTGCTCATATTTATCTGTGTCTCAACAGCATCATGAGTCACATCTTGAACAATGTGGGACCAGGACTGAACATGGTGATTGTAAATGGTAAAAAAATAAAAACAACTTGCAGCTGGAAAAACTACATGCTGTCTAGTTGTGTAAACATTTATGAAGCATTCACACTGTGATCCATTTTTCTTGCGTACGTTTTTCAGCATCTTTCTCGTTCCACAATGTTTGTGCTATTTCAACAAATCATATATCAAAAGCTTCAGCTCGTTCAGGGGAAGGGTACTAGGACTTTTAGTATTGGTGCAACTTTATCATTTTGAAATATTTAGCCTTTTCTGCTACTTTTATTCTCCTCGGATATGAATGCAGCTCATTTTACATCCTTCAAATCTTTAGATCTGTTTTCACCTTTTACTGCTCCTTTCATATTTTTGTGCTGGCTCAGCTTCTTTCAGCTTGTTCAAATTTAAACTTTTTTCAGCTACTTTCAGCTAATTTTAGCTGTTATTTCAGCTGCTTTGTGCTCCTTTCAGATTCTTTCTGTTGACTACATTCTGGGCTTTTTCTAATTTATTTCAGCTAATTTCAGTTTGTTATGCTCCTTTCACCTTATTTCTGTTAGTTTCAGCTGTTTCTGCTAATTCAGCAACTATTCAGCTATTGTTATGCAGCATTTTCAGCTAAATCCACATTTTTGGCACTCATTTAACCTTTTTTCAGCCTAATTCAGCAAAAAAATGTGCTCTCTCCACTTCCTTCTGGTAATTTAAGCTTCTTTTTGCTCCTTTAGCTACTATTCAGCTGGGGTTTTCTGCAAATTTTTGCATTTTTCTGATAATTTCCATCATTTTGTGCTCATTTCTGCTTTTTTCAGCCTAACTGGGCACAATGTGCTTGCTCCACTTCCTTATGGCTTCTTCCTGCCTTTTTAGATTTTTTTTTTGTTTTGTTTTTTTGCCAATTTCCACATTTTTAGCTAATTTACAAATACTTTTGCTAATTTCTGCTTATTTAAACCTAATTCAGCAAATATGTGTTATTTCTGCTTTCTTCTAGTTACTTAGTCTTGCTCTTCAATTTCAGCTATTTCAGCATGTTTTTAGCTCATTTCAGCTGTTTTTTCAGCAAGTTCTTCAGCAATAAGCATTCACACTGCATTTTGGTATAGGAAAACAATGTAATATTTTGTTTAAAGTTGATTTCTAAGGTTAAAAACAGTCTTGCCTGTTGTGTTTTTCACATTTATGTGTCTGTCCATTGCTGAAATATTTCCTGACTGTTAATGAAACCTGCAGATGTAATCAATGGCTGTGCATTAAGTCCAATTCAAGATGGCCACCACAGCTGAGCAACATTACAAACACAAAAATATATTTGAGACAGAATGCACAAAATGTTACTTTGACTAAAATATCCTATACCATTTTACTTATTCATGCTCAATGTTTCTGTTAGCTGTTTTCACACTTGACAGGATGATTTTTTAAAAAGTTTCTTTTTTTCTTTTTTTGTTCAAAAACAGGTGAAAACGGAGCTATAGAAAAAGTTGGCTTTCTCAACTTGATAGCAGGCAGTAAGAGTTAACAGCTTGATTTAAATAAAATTTGCATTTTGAACTTTATCTAAACTTTAAAGATTTTTTTCCCTCTTTCTCTCATTTGCTTGGACAATAGACAAAGAAGATATCCTGGCTTATTTAAAGGAGATAAAACCAGGAAAGATCGTACTGGTGGCCTCGTTTATCAATGCGGCAACAAAGTAAGACCAATTTGTAGCTTTTCAGCATTTAAAACGTGATCAGCACGAGTCACAAAGCGTGACCCGGTCTGCCTTTGTGCCGCAGAATGACAAAAGAAATGAGGGACATCTTCGTGGATATGGGGAGCAGTTTGATCCATTCTGTTCGACACAGAGACAACTGGGTGTTTGCTGGAAGATCTGGGACTTCAATCAAAAGCCTCTTTGAGAAGGTGAGCGAACCCTTTCGATGCTGTTTTACTCCTTCCATTTGTGTCGACTATTTTGAAGCGCACTAAAAAGGGAAGCAGGATGATTAAAACAAGTGATTCTTTCCCTTCTCACCTGCCAGCAAGTCGCTAATGATGAGAAAACCAACGCGTTTGATGGATGGCCACAGATGGTGGAGGTGGGCGGCTGTTTCCCAAGGAACCTGAATGCCTCACAATGAGCTGCAAAATATTAGTTTTCTTTGTTTTGTTTGGTTTAAATCAATGGACTTCTACGATTCTCCTGTACATAAATAAATAAATAAATAAAAACGCCTCTTCAGATGGTAAAACTATACCGATAAGCCAAACATGGGTTCTCAGAATCGTTGGCACCGCTGCTGTGTTGTAAGTACAAGACTTTTGCATGTTTAGACAAACAGGATTTATTTACGTCAATTCTATAAAATCATAGGTACAAATAGAAATTATTTGATTTGGTAGAAATACAATAAAATGTACTTTAAACACAATTATTTGCACAGTTTTGATTCATTTTATTTTTTTAATCAGTCCTTTTTAACTCTCTTGACATGTTCAGTCCTTGCCATCTGCTTTTGTCTTCCTGGTCATTAACAAAACATCAAAATTATCTGCATTTAAATCCATGATAATACAAATCATGTCCTAATGTTATGATACGTCTTTCTACCAGCCTGTTTTCTTATGAACAGAACAACTGTAGGTCTTCTGTTTGGTGTGTATGGCCTGTATAATCTGAGCACATCCAACTTTTTTGAAGGAAAAGTGAAGCATGTTTTGTGTTCTCTCTTAAAATTGATAATTAAACAACAACAGAAAAAAATATATATATATATAAATAGAGCAACAGCATCCATGCTGTTAAAAACAGGAACAATCTATGTGCTCGGTGTGTCAGATGCACATGTTGGACTCCATGCTGTTAGCATAAATTTTGCCCAGATTAAGATAATGAAATGTGGCCACGGCCTCGTCATCCCTGGATTGATCCACACCGCTTATCTTGGTTTGTATGTCATGTTGTCTTCATCTTCTGGCACTTTCTCCTCTATGCTATATATCATGTCAGGTTCCCGGCCTCTGTACTCGTCACCAGTGCGTTGATCCAAAATATGATTGTAGCCTCAGTAACAGCATACCGTTTGGTTGCGCTACCACAAAATGGGCTTGGAGGAAGATCTTAAAAGTCTTAGTGTACCAGAGCTGCCGAGGGAGTCCTATATATGATTGAAACAATGGCAAAGATTCTGTCAGGGAAAGAATGTGGCGGTTGCCATGGTAGCTAATAAGGGAGGTGTGTACCTGTTTTTATTTACTATTTTAGGACCTTTTCTAAAAGAGCTGAACTTAGGCTCAGTTGTCCTTATGTGGACTAAAGCCAGGTCCTAATACAGTGGAACATCTTTAAAAAAAATGTAGATTAGGGTTTAGGGCTAAAGTTGGAACTGAGTAATTATGTGACAAAATGGTAAATGGTAAATGGACTGTACTTATATAGTGCCTTTCTATCTTATTTCAAGATACTCAAAGCACTTTACACTACAATCTATGTCCTCATTTACCCATTCATAGAGCACTCTGCTAGATCTCTACAAAGCTAATGGAACAAATCATTCAAATGAGACTAATCAGTGCTTTAAGATCACATTCATACACTGATGGGACACACATCAGAGGGTATGAGGGGTTCAGTGTCTTGCCCAGGGACACTTCAGCATGTGACTGCTGGTGGATTCGAACCCCCAACTCTCGCATTGGAGGACGACTGCTCTAACCACTCAGCCACAGCCACCCCAAACTTATGTTGAGGGCCGCACTGGGTTAAACTCAGGGAATCTCTGTCCGACGCGTTGCCAAACTGACGTCACTCCAGGTCACTTCTCTATGCAATGATCGGTTTATTCTGCTTCAAATGTCCATACTTTAAACATTACACAGACTGAGACAGACTGACCAGCTCCCAACAATTGATAAATGCTTGGCATAACTCACTACGGCATTTTATAACACGGTCAACAGAAAATATGACGACCCCGGGCGCACCCAACTTCCTCATCCATACCAAGCCAGAACGCTGGTAAAGCACTCCATTTATATCTGGTGACAGTCACGCACACATCGACACACCCACCACCCAAGTGTCAAAGCTGCATACTCACCTGTCACTTCATCAATTGATTATTTCACTCAAAAGGCTCTTACACTTTCTGGGTGGAGTTTGCATGTTCTCTCTGTGCATGCGTGGGTTTTCTCTGGGTACTCCGGTTTCCTCCTACAGTCCAAAAACATGCATGTTAGGCTGATTGGTAACTCTAAATTGTCCCTAGGTGTGAGTGAGAGAGTGAATGGTTGTTTGTCTTGTTTGTCTCTATGTGTCCCTGTGATGGACTTGCGACCCATCCAGGGTGTACCCCGCCCCTCGCACAGTGATTGCTGGACATGGGCACCAGCGACCACCGTGACCCAAAATGGAATAAGCGGGTAAAGAAAATGGATGGATGGATGGATGGAGGCTCTTACACTGCACTGGAAAAAGTTTTGCACAGAGTTGTTCATTCAAGCTAAAAACTATTATTGAATACAATGTACAATAATTGACTTGGTTGTGAAAGTCTATTTTTTTGCATTCTGAGGTTTCAATTTTGATTCAGACTGAATCAATAACACTTTTGATGGGAAGAAAGCAAATATTTTGGTTCCTCTCAAAACATGCTGAAAGGAAATGATGTCATATTTTCAATCTGAGTCACGTGAGAAGACGTTGGGGAGAAGTGCTTGGGTAGAAATAGAAGAGAAGAGGATATTATATCTAGACTAAGATTTGGGCATACGGGGCTGAATAGTACGCTGAAAATAATTAATAAACATAGTACAGGTTTGTGTAATTTTTGTGGAGAGTCAGAAACGGTGCAGCATATTCTTCTAGAATGTAGTAAATACAGCCGGGAAAGAGAGTTGTTAATTAGAGAGATGAACAGTAATAAAATCAATTTAGATGTTAAAAATTTGCTGCAAAGATCTTCTGAAAATATAATTTTTAACAGCATTTTTAGGTTTCTCAAGATGTCAGGCATTATGGGGAGAATATAGTGATAGGACATCTAATCTATACTCCAGTCTGGAAGGTGGCGGTAATGCACCTATAAGTTGTTTGCCAACCGCCATTAAACATAAAAGAAGAAGAAGAAGAAGAAGAAGTGCTTGGAGAGCTTCGTCCGTTGCACAATGTGTCTGCAATGTGTCACCTATGTGTCAAACAATGTGTCACCTATGCCATTATACAGTATATAGTGATTAATGAGGTGTGCCATACTGCAGTTGTTCAGTTGCATATTTCGTATATTTTGCCTCAGGTCTCCCAGAAAGATCAAGCCGAGCAGGAGCTGGAGAGGACCATCATGGCAGTCTTCGTCTTCAGAGAGAATTCAAGCCTTCTACAGCAGCCCCAAGACGTTGGGATTGTCATTGATGGTGTGGAAGTCCTCAATGAGTTGCCTTCTCTTGCAGCTGGAGTGGCAATGCTCTTTGGACTTTGCTATGCTCTTAACATGGAGTATCCACAGGGTTTCAGGTTCACCTTTGAGGCCCTTCAGAAGATCCTGATGGAGCTTGGTTCCAACAAGATGACTTCCAAGATTCGCAAACTCAGTGGTGAACTCAAAACTGCACAGTAGTGTATATTTAAGTGTGTGCTTAATGTGTGTGCATGTAGTTGCCACTGGCATCTATTTAAGAGGTAGACCACCTCACAGCACTTTGTTATACATGTTCAGGTGGTCACTTTCATGGAGTGCTTTTGTTGGAATTTTAGTTCTTTCATGATGTTTAGAGATGCAACATTCCTTCAAGTTCAGATGTGTTTGAACAGTACAACAATAGTGAATGCTTTCTGTCCATTTAATTTTGCTTGATAAGCCATATTGTCTTTATGTCATTGCTCTGATCAACAATGACATGTTTATATTTGTTTGTCTGAACATGCAACTTTTTTTGTCCTTTTTTACTTGAGGAATAAATGGCTTATAAGAAAAATGTTGCTGGAGTGTGTTAAGTGTGATGTGAGTGATGCAGATTGTTTGACACCAAGTTTATGACATTTTAAAAAAGAAGACTTTCATGGTGCCAATGAATTAATTTATGCTAGGTATATATATTAGATGGGTTCAATTTAAATATATTAGTTTGGTTCATAAACTAAAATGTAAATTATTTAACTTGGATAAAGGTGAAGAATTAATATTGGGTCAAGTAGAGTAATATGGTTTGAGTCAATATTAAATAGTCATGTTGTACCAAAACAATTTATTTAGATTCTGTGGAGTCTAATATATTAGATGCAACAAATGGACATCAATTTTTTTAATTTAAGCAGGGCCACAATTTTTACAGTGTGAGTTTAGGTTATTGCAAGTACTGGGAAAGATGAGGCTTAGACTAAGGGTCAGGGTTACAGGGATGAATGAAAACAAATGCAAAATCCTGATGAGGATAAATGTATGTGTGACAACTATACATCTGAGGAGTCACGTCCATCTGCTGAAGCCAGCTTAATGTGATGTTTCACACATTATTTTCTAATCACAGAAAAGGTCAATCATGTCATCTGGGCAGTTTCTTTTTTGGAAGAGAATATTTTATCTTTCATCCGAAAGATTTCATCCGTCTGTGATCTGTCAACAGGATCTGTTGTAACCTGACCATTTTGGCCAGGTTGGCCTCAGGCTGGTTCCGTGAGTAGGTTGATTGTTATGCAGTGATGATCGATTGTTTTAGACTGATCATCCTCCATTATGCATGTGTAAATCCATGCTGGGAACTCCACAGCAGACTGGTTTGACACACGTCAACAAGGTGCTACTTAATACGACAGATCCTGCTGGCAGGCCTCAGACTGGTGAAGTCTTTCGATTGAAAGACGAAACGTTTCTTCCAAAAAAGAAACTGTCCAGATGACACAATTGAACTTTTTTGTGATTTATTTACCTGGATGATAGAGTGTATGTATGATTTTCAAATGATTGGTCACTTTTGATCAAGAACACCAACCGTCAAGGTCAAGGTGTCTTTGTTGTCATTCACATCACATGTGGTACATGTGGTGGAACAAAACTATGTACTCAGGGTCCCAGTTGCATCCAACAAAAAAACACATTGTAAAGAAAAACAGTAATGAGATCTAAGAATTGAACTAAGAATACAT